GTATCAGACATGAATCCAGCTTGGATGCAAATTGTTAACTAGGAAATTCTGATGCTATCCAAGGGATTTTTCAACTAGGAACCAGATTAAGATTTTGCTGTTGATTGGACAGTCTGGGGAATTTCCCAGCTCTATGGTGAGCAAGGCTTTAAGGAGAGGTGACTACCTTAACCAGCTTCACTTCAAGTATCTTCCTTGTCATTTCCCCCCCCCCCCAAAAAAAACCCCTTCCTTCACTAATGAATGGAACCCTGAGCAAAGTGGGGACTTACCCAGGGCAATAATATTCCTAAAAGCCTCCAATGTGACTTCTGCGCACAGGGCTCTCTGGTCAGAATCCAGTAGCGCCCACTCCTCTTCTGTGAAGTCCACAGTGACCGCCTCAAAGGGATCAGACCACTAGAATGAGAATGTTGTATAGAAGATTGTCCCAGAAAAGAAGTTTTCCCTCTTACTACACAAAACAGAACTTTACATGAAACCAAATGGGCATTTTCTTATAGGGCAAATTGACATCTAGATGTTCACATGGTCTTGACTGTGAAGCCGCCAGTTTCCCTTGCCCTAATAGCTGGTGTTCTTAAGTGCACAAAATATGACTCCATCCAAGTTGCTGACTAGCAACACAGCACCATTTAGGTTACTTCCTGCTTGTTTGGAATTACTCAACAAGTGGGATTTGGGGAATAGATTCCAGAGGCTCACCTGACTTGGGAAGGAAATTCTACATTCTTTGTAAACTAGGAATTTCTTCCATGGCTTATTTCAAAAGGGCCTGGAAATCTAAAGGCACTTGAAGAACACTGATGCAACCATTTAGTGATGATCTTAGGCTTTTTCATGAGAAATCTGTCCTCATTTGGGGGGAGGGGAGGGAGGAGAGTCACTGTTTAACTACACACAGACTCAGCATTTGCCTATACTGCAGAAGAGCTCAGGAAGGGAGCTTGAACTCTGCTGCTCTCAGAAGAAACCTACAATTACCTGCTGAAATGGCTCAAGTTGGGACCTTCCGAAAAGCAACTCTTGGGAAGGACTGCATTGATTTTCTTTTTCCTGTAGCTCTGCTGAGATCTCTCCTGTGAACAGCTCCTGCATCTGAAAGAGAAGCCTAGTTTATGATCCATGCTCATAGGACTGTAATTATGTTAGTTTGCTTGCCTTACCTTTTCAATTCCCCAAGTCAAAGTGAGAGAACTCAGGGATTCAGATTTGAAAGTGGCTGCTACTTTTGAGTAAATGACTGCCATTTTTGTGAGATGTTTCATTGCCTATCTTTATTTCCTTTTATTCTGATCAGGAATGTTCAGATCTTTACTTGTCTCTTTCTCTTAATAGCTTTGTTATCCTCTTTTGTGGATGTACCTATGCTTGTTTTATCTCTTCCTCAGGTCTTTCCTTTACATTTACAAAGCTTTACCTCTTAAGTGCATGGCATGGATCTTCTCTTCCTTTTCTTTTGGCTTCCCTATGTCTCTTGTAGTGGGGAGACTCTCAACCAGGCAATTCAAGGAAAGAGCTTGGGATAAAGATTGAAATGGTTTTTGTGAGGAAGATGCACACCAGTCTCATTGTGGTAACTGAGATACCTTTTAGAATTAGATGGTTGGCCAGTCTGATTTTTCACCTGTTCTCCGAGTTATTCCCACAGACCCTTACACAATACCAATATACGGCCTCTTGATGTAGGTTCCCAGGGAGAGTTTGTAAAGAAGGGAAGCAGGAATGGGGACTTCAAAATAAGATTTGCTATGTCATAAATGGAACAAATTGTTTGAAGAATGTCAGCTGAAATGGAGCAAATTCTCAATTCATTAAAGGAAAGGGGAGGAGGGATTCTGGCCTCCTCCCTCAAACTCTCTTATAGTCCTGAGATGTTGCTCTTTCCTTCCATAAAATTACTCCCAAGAGGAAAAATAAGCATTTCCCTCAAGAACAAATACACTGACAAAATATTAGGAGTTTCAGAAAAGTCTGGCAGACGGTTTCTTTATGCCTGATTTCTTAGAGACACTTATCCTCGCATGGACACCCAGGTTGAAACTATCTCACCTGCTATCCCTTTCCAGGCTCCTGGGAGGCTGTGGGGCTGAGCAGGTAGCCTTTGGTGAGGGGAATCCTGACTTTAGGAAACATTTATTAGCCCTTCCAGGTAGACCAGACAAGCCCCACAATGCATATTAGCTCTATCTTTAGTGCAAGACCACATTAATAAAATCTTTTTTGATCCTCTCCTTGTACTTGCTGGAAAAGTAGGCAAGGTTTTAAATGACACGTTCCCACCCACCCACGATGGGGGGAATTGAGATATCTTTTGCATTATGGCTGTCCAGTCCACGACAAAGTATGAGGGGAAAACAGAATGTGGCAATAAGGTCCCACAATGTTATTCCCACATACTATTTACTGTTTATATCCCAACACGTGTTTGGATGTCTTCTCTCTGCGATTATGTGCAAGGAAGAGAAACGAGGCGTAGAAGAGGATGAAAGTGCCTCACCTGCCGCCCCTT